AACCATGGTCGACTATGTGGGAGTCCAGCAGTGTAACCATTCTGCCATCTGCTGGTCCCTTTACTAAGAATTTCTGAAACGTGCTTCCATGATGTTCTTTATCCATACTTGGTAGTTCAGTCACTGGGTCAAAGATGAAAGACTTTGAGAGTAAACTGAGACAAGAGATGAGAATTATGGGTACTTTAGAAAGGGGTTAGAATTTAGATAAATGTTAATCAACTAATTGTGGGTTCCAGGCTGGGTGGAAGACAAATGAAATAACTGGAATTGTGGTTCCTCCTTTGACTAAAGAGGTGTCCCAAAATTTTATCTAGAAAAACAGTCACTGTTTCTCTGAGTTATTGCATCCACTCTTACAGCTTCAACTTTCATCAGAAAACTAATTTATAAATCTCTATCTTTTATTTTGCTTCATATTGAGCTATGGACTTGAATTTCTTTAATTGCTTGCTGCTCATTGCTTGGATATCCTGTAGACATTTCATTCACAAGCAGAATGTCTCAACTGCCCTCTCATTTTACACTATCTTGTTCTTCTTGATTTCCTGTTTTATAGAGATACCCACCATTCTCTCAATTCCCAAGCCTTCGTGTGTTAGTAATTTAAGTTTCTTCTTTTTTGCCCCCTAATTAATTACTCATAAATATTTTTGCTATATTTGCCCTATTCATTCTCTCCTTGCCGTGTCACTAACCAAGGTCAGTTCCTTGTTATTTTTCATGTGGACTGTTGGGAGTTATTTACTAACTGGCCTTAGTGCTTTAGCTATTTTTTTTCTTTTTTTCTATTTTGGCAGTGGCCAGCATAGCCTCCCTAATGTAACAGTTCTGAATGTCAGCTCTGAGATCTTCAGTAACCCCTTAGTGGCTTACATATAAACTCTTTTACTGCAATTGAGGGTTCTTTCTGATATGACTCATATATTTTTCCACCTTTAGCTATTAGTTCTTTTAGTGAAACAACTTTTCACTCTACCTTTTATACACTGAGCATGTTCTGTTCTCAGTGATTTTGTCTCTGTTGCCACTTGGACACAACTAGCCATACTTTCGGGCTCAATTTGAAGTTCACTGACTCCATGAAAGCTTTCCTAAGATTGCATGTTTGGATTGGATACTATTCTTGCCTTGTCATCTCTCTTTTCCCCATTAGGCAGAGAGAGAGCTACAGAGAGACAGAAATCAAGAAGTTCTCTCCTTCCCCCCCAGGGGGGATGGCCACTCCACAATCCCTTTTCCTCCGTTCTTCTCTAACCATTGTCGACTATGTGGGAGTCCAGCGATATAACCGTTATGTTATCTGCTGGTCCCTCCCCATCAATTTCTTATGGCACTTATTTATCCTGTTAGCTTATATATTACTTTAGGATAAACACTGTTGCCATTTTCATTTTTTGGCTTCTGATAGTACCTTAAACATAGCATATCTCTTATAGATCTGGTCAGGAGAACAGAGATTAAAATGTGGAAGATCTGTGGAGGTAGGTAGGTGTTAAGGAGGTTTTGCGATGTATCAACATATAAATAAATCCAAAGTCTAAAAGTCCTGAAAGGTAGGGGAGGTGGGGAGGTTGTAACAAGGAGGGGAACTTAATCTTGGAAGCATGGAAGGCTGGTTGAGAATGCTGCTGTTGCAAATTATTGTACTTCTCTTTACCTTTGCTTTCTTGTCTACAGTTTAATAACAATAAGTGCTTAATATGGACAGTGACACTCAGTAAATTAAATTTGTAGTATGTTTTAGTCACTATGCTAAGATTTTTTGTGCTCTTACTTAATTATTAAAAGACTTCTACTTCTTAGAAGCGAAAATTGAGGCTTATATGGGTGAAACAGTTTACCTAAGATCACATAGCTAGACTATGGCAGGGTCGACATTTTAATCCAGGTCTATCTGACTCCAAACTCTGAAAATTTCTTTAAGAATTAATTATTTAATTTTATTTATTTATCATTATTACTTTTTAATTTGACCAGAGAAAGAGGGAGAGGGTAAATGAGAAAGCAAGTTGTCAGGTCAGGTACTCAAACCATGGTTGGCCATGTGGAAGTCCAGTGCCTTAACCACCATGCTACCTATTGTCCCCGCACACTCTGAATTTTTAATAATTAAGCTAATTTGATTATTGAAATTTAGGGAATTAACTTGATAGCCAAGCATTTTACTAAAAATTAACAGAATCTAGAATCTTAGTTTTGTTTTTTGGTCAGTTGTTGGCAGCAATGATAAGTATTATCCATGAGTGGTCTGAAGAGGGCAGCACTGTAACACTGGTTTTGTGACAGGATGCTGGAGGCCTGTGCTGCTGTACTGCTTTGTATACTAAATGAAGTAAAGCTTGTAGCCTTTCCGTCTAATCCTGCGTATATATATAAAGAGGAAAATATTTGAAAAATTAAAAAAAATTGAGATCAACTAACTTCTAATTTTTTAAAAGAATTATTTAATTTCACTTATTATTATTATTATTTATTTTTAATTTGACCAGAGAGAATCAGAGAGAAAGAGAGGGAATATGAGAAAGCAAGCCACCAGGTCTGGGACTCAAACCTCAGTTGGCTATGTGGGAGTTCAGTGCCTTAACCACCATGCCACTTGCTGGCCCCCAACTGCTAATTTTTTATAAAATTGAGTTGGGCATTAGCATTTATAATTTATTATTTTTTCCCGTTTATTTTTTTAAATAAAACACTCTGGGGTGCGTGTACTGGTCAGAGAAAGAGACACAGAGGGAGAAAGCTAGAAAGAGCCCCCTGTGGGGAATAGTCACTCTATAATTCCTTAATAGTCATAATTTCATATAAGGTCTCTGCAGTGTATAAATTAGAAAATTTATATAGATTTGTCTTGACTGGAAAAACAGATATGGGATTAGATACCTAAGGTAGGTAATGTGTAAAGTTAAAAAAAAAAATCAGGTAAACTTAAAGAAAAAAGCAAAAGTCAGCAGATGGTTACTGGTTTAAGTTGCATTTTTGAGACCTATGCTTCTCTGTGTTAACTATGAATGTAGAATGAGGGAAAGTATTTCAGTATGATAAACAACTAGATTTTTCAAAAGAATTCTTAAAATAGGTGAAATGTGCTATGTGCCTATTAAGTGTGCCACGTGTTATTCTAACTGCTTTATTTAACTCATTTAATTCATTACAACAACTGTGTGGGATAGGCCCTGTTATTTATTATCCTTATGTAGTAAATGAGGAAACGAAGATGCAGGTTAAATAACTTCCTCAACTTCCTTTTTCTCTCACACAGGTAGTAAGTGACAGAGCTAGAATTTGAACCCAGGCAGTCTGGTTCAGGACTACTATGCTTTTAGTCTTAGTGTAGATATCTTCCTTCAGTATCAGGATTTTTAAGTTCTTTTGAATTAACATATGGTAAAATTGATTTTCCTTTCTTCAGGAAGGTTAAGGTATGTGTGCATAGCCAGACTAGAGCCATAGGAGGTGTAAATTATTTCACATTTGCCACTAACTTCCTGGTCTCCTCGGAAAATTACTTAATTTCTCTGTTTAAGGCGTTTTCTATTAATAATAATGTGAGTATTAGGAGCCAGCTGGTAGCGTGGTGGTTAAGGTGACTGGATCTCATATGACCAACTGCACAGTTCAAATCCCAGACCTGGCAGCTTGGAAAACAAGCTGGGCATGTCTAAAATCCTAGGAGAGAATAGAAGAGCAGGGATTGTGGTGTGGCCACTGTCCCTGGGTGATGCTTCTCACTCTCCCTCTCTTTCTCTATCTCTAGTGAATGCATATACCCGATAGCAAATAAAAAAGCAAACAAACAAAAAAGAATATCAGAAGAAAAGAAAAAAATTTAATTTCAGATATAAGATCTTGTACAGATACTTTCTCCTGGTATAGTAAAAGTTTATTGTTAATGGATTAGGTTACCAAGGTTATTCTGTCAACACAGTTTTCATTAAAATGGATATTAGGAATTTCTAACTCTTATTAATTATTTAGATTCCAAAGAAATCAATTAAAATGACTTGAAAACTGGGTTAAGTATAGTTTATTTTAAAAGTGGTTTTGTGGGGACTAGCAGTTGGCGTAATGGCAACTCCCATGTAGTTGACTGCAGTTCAAGTCCCAGACCCAGTGGCTTAAACTCAGGCCAGGTGCGTGTGCGTGCGTGCCCAAGATCCCGAGAGGAGAATGGAGGAGAAGGAATTGTGGCATGGCTATCCCCCCTAAGGGGGGATTTCTTGTTTTTTGTCTCTCTGTCTCTCTCTGTCTTTCTGGCAAGTGCACGAGCCCTATAGCAAAAACCTCTCAAAAAAAAAAAATTAAAAAAATGGTATTGTGAAGTTGTTTCTTTGTAGCTGGCACTTCTGTTAAAATGCCAGAGAGGAGGGGACCAGCAGTTAATATAATGGCTATGTCGCTGGACTCCCATGTAGTCGACTGCGGTTCGCATCCCGGACCCAGTGGCTTAAAACTCATGCCGGGCACGTGTGCGTGTGTGCCCAAGATCCGGAGAGGAGAATGGAGGAGAAGGGATTGCGGCGTGGCCATCCCCCCTGGGGGGTGATTTCTCGCTTTCTGTCTCTCTGTCTCTGTCTGGCGAGCGCACGCGCCCTATAGCAAAAACCTCTCCAAAAAAAGGAAGAAAAAAAGAAAAAATAAAATGCCAGAGAGAAGGGGCCTAGGATTTAGTCTACTACAAACATCCACCCTCTACTCAACATCATTTGTTTTTCTGGTAACCAGCCCTACTCTTCAGGCATCTTATCTCATGGTATAAAGGCAGATGTGATCCCAGTGACTCCTGAGCAACAAAGACCCATTACCTAGGGAATTCTAGGTAGTCTCTCTCTCAAGAACCAGGGACAAAAGACAGATTTTTTTTTTCAATTCAACAGCAACATAGACATTACTATACTTTAAATGATTTCCTTGCATTTTAAAAATATTTGTTGATAACATTATACATTCTAAGGTATCATCCTGTTTTAATTATAGCAAATATCTTTCTTTACTTCTAGGAGTCTGGAGCACCTATTCTCACAGATGATGTTAGTTTACAAGTGTTTATGGATCACTTGAAGAAACTTGCTGTGTCAAGTGCCGCTTGAAGTGCTAACTGTGTAAGGACACTTAAGGAGACGAAATAATATTCCAATTTCATTTTTTCCCCTTTTTCAATTTATCTGTGGAAACCAACAAAGATATCTCTCTAGATTGTGTGGGTTTTTTTTTTTTTTTTTTTTTTTGGTATCAATATAGTTTGAGAAAACATGTGGGAAAATGTTCATGTTTGTAGATTAAGCTGGAATATAAGAGTGATAAGAACAAATTTTTTTGCTTGCCACAGTATTATAACTGGTTTTAGAAATTTGAGATCTTTTTAATTTAATTATGTTTAAGAGTACAGTAGTCTGCCTTATACTACACATGTAACTCATTTGTGTATTGCAGACAAATCCAACATGGCACTGAATGTCCTTGCTGACCTTTTAAAAACTTCTTAATTTTAGCCAGGAGGTAACAAAATCATTAGTAATAATAAATGTGAACATTTTGCTTATTCATTGAATATTTTTCTGTGATTTTCAGCACTTACGTGTATACTTTTCCTGTATTTCATTAAAGCAGATTTACTTTATGTTAATTTAAGAATTATTTGACTTTATAGTAGTAATTTTCACAAAGATAATACGATGTTTTTAGTTATTTGGAAAAATAGTTTAGAGATTAAAAAGCTTTTGGAGGTGACAATTCCATAACTGACAATGTGAAATTTTCACAAAGTACCCAACTTAGGTGACTAAATGCAATGCTTTTCAAAAAAGGGAGCTAGAAAATGCACTATTTTGTCAGGATGCATTTTAGAAAGCCTTTGCAGTGAATGGACTGTTCTAACTACTAAACCAGATTTGAATTTTGCTGCATGGTGGTATTGTTTCCCCTGGTTTCTCTGAGGTAAATTTCAGTATTTTAACACTATTTTGAGAGTTTACATATTATTTTTGTTTCTGCTTCCTTTTTGTAAAATTATATTCAGTTGTGGTTCTTATTGAAACAGTATTATATGATATTTGTTTAATTATATATGTTGTGATGTTTAATTCTGTTTTGATTTATTCATTAGTGTCATTCACTTTTACTCTTTAAAGTTTACTTGTAGCAGACATGTTTACATTGCTAAAGCCAGATATGTTTTGACAATAACATTTACATATCAAGTACTGCAAATAAAAGGTGGTGCTATGATATATGCTTAGGACGATTTTGATTATTGTACTTGCATGAATACAATCATATGATGGTAAAACAGAAACTTTAAAACTGTGTTTATATATTATATTCAATTAGCTTAAATAAATTACTTTGTTCTATTTTATTTGAATTGAACTGTGCTAAGCCTAAATGCTAATAAAATATACTTTTCTCTGTTATTATTTTTTTTTTCTGGTTATCTTGAGATCTCATAAGCCTGATGTGGAATTGTATATATTAGGAGCCTAATGTAAAATTAGAACATTTAAAATCTATTATTGGATTAAAAGGTTGCCAATTTTTAAAGTTGCCAGTTTTTAAAATAATAGCCTTATTGAGATATAATTCACATATGTAATTCACCAATAAAGTGTACAGTTCAGTGGATTTTAGTATTTTCATGGATTTGTATAAACATCACCATGGTTAATTTTTTTTTTTTTTTGAGAGGTTTTCGCTATAGGGCGCGTGCGCTCACCAGAGAGAGAGAGACAGAGAGACAGAGAGCGAGAAATCACCCCCTGGGGGGAGTGGTCACGCCACAAACCCTTCTCCTCCATTCTCCTCTTGGGATCTCTATTAGCTTATTATTTAAAAAGAATTACCCTGGGACTCTTCATTTTTGTGTATAATTAGCTGTTTCTAAATTCCTAACTTTTTAAATAGACTGTTGAAAAAATGTCTAACACTTTGTTTTTGTTCATTTGGGTTGCTGGAGCAGAATACCTTAGAATACAACATAAATTTATTTCTTACAGTTCTGGACTTAGGAAAGTCCAAAATCAAGGTGCCAGTAGATTTGGTGTCTGTTAAAGGCTGTCTGCTTTAAACATAGCACCTTCTATGTGTCCTTGTGTGGCCAAAGAGAGGGAGGTGAGCAAGCTCCCTCAGGCTTCCTTAGAAATCTGATTCTTAACAGTACTTATCACCTAAAAGTCCCTGTTAATACCATATTAGAGATCAGATTTCAATATAGGAATTTTGAGGGGATCCAAATAGTCAGATCATAGCATCCTTTAAGGATAGATAAAAAATATTTGTTAAATTACTAGAATACTGGGAGGCTTTTGTATTATTACCTAGAAATACTTTGAAATTTATTCTTGAACCTTCTATCTCTTTTGGCCTTCTAAAAATGATCTTAGACTTCTCTAGGTATATTTATATGTTGGTATATTCAGCTCTTCACTTGCTAAACTTCAACTCTAATATTCCCTAATTCAGAGATTGCTTTCAATAAATATACTTAGTTGTCTAATTTGGGCCAGAAACCAAGGAATCATTTTCAACTCTTACTGTCCTCACTATCCTGAGTAACCAAGTTCTACGTTTCATCTTTCTTATTATCTTCCTAGCCAATTTTCTGTTTTCTGTCTTGCTGGCCTTCAAATGTATTCTTTATTGGCTGTTACAAGTTAAATGCTGGGGCTTATTGGACTTTGTTTTATTAGGTGTTGGGAAAGTCATGATGTATTTTTCTGTTTTTCTATGCAAAATGCATCATGACTTTCCAAGTGACCCCCAGTGGTTTAGATGAACATAGTGTTTTCAGTTCATTTTCAAATAGTGCTGGCATTATTAACTTTTTTCTCCAATGCCTGCCTTTGCATTTTTATTTTTACTTCCCATGTGTCTGGTGTGCATCATATGTACTTTTTATATTCTTATGTGCTTGATTTATATTTGAGTGTTTTATCAAGTAATTTAATTGTAATTCCAGTTTCTTTTTCTTTTCTTTTTGTTTAAATTACCAGAGGCAATGCATGTTGACCAGAAAGAGACAAAGAGGCAAAGACAGAGAGAGGTAGAAAGCTTCTTCAAATGGTGGTAGTCAAGTGCAATCTCTTCATTTCTCCATCCTGTCAGGATTTGGATCACACATGCACATGTGCCTAGCTTGATTTTCAAGTTTCCAGGGGAAGGAATTGAACCACAGTCAACCATTTGGGATCAGTTCCCTTAACCATTAGGCTATGGGTCTGGTTCATTCTATAGATGTTTCTATTTTTCCTTACTGAGTTTTTAGTGACTTATTATTTGAAATTAAAGTCTCCCTTGTTCTCTTCATTCATCCTTTTTGTTTTATTATTTATTTAACATTTTTTAAAAAACAATTTTTGCTGGGACCAGTAGGTGATGAGGTGATTAAGTGTGTTGGACCCCACATGGCCACCTACAGTTTGAGTCCTGGACCTGGTGACTTTCTCTCTCTCTCTCTCTCACTCTGTCCCTCTCTGGTCAAATTAAAAAAAAAAATAAATAAAATTCAATAAAATAATTCTTTAAAAAATATTTGCTTTTATTTAATTTATTATTTTTTTAAAAATTTGATCAGAAAGAGAGAAAGGGAAAGTGAGAAAGCAGCTGCCCGGTCCAGGACTCAAACCATGGTTAGCCATGTAGAGGTCTAGCACCTTAACCACCATGCCACCTGCTGACCCTTGTTCTCATTAAGTCTGTAAAAACAATAGCTGGTATAGGCTCAGTGTATTATTAGCCAGTGAATATAATAATAGTGAAGTTTAATTTCTCAATACATCCATTTTGGGGTGAGCCTTGTAGTGCAGTGGTTAAGTGATATGCATAGAATACCATTTCCCAGTGTTCAAATACCGGCCACGGTGACTAAAAGACATGCTAGGCTCATGTGCATGCATGCCTAAAATCCTGTTGGGGTGAAGAAATGGAGGAAAAAGGATTGCAGTGCTGGAAAAGGACTGCATTCCATGGGGGTGTTCTCTTTCTCTGGTGGATGCACATGCCTAATCACAGTAAAAAAAAATATACACTTTTCTTTCCCACCTGTGGATTATACTAACATAAAGCCCAATTAATTATTGAGTTCAAGAAGGAACATACTGGGTACTTAGGAGATTTGTATTTCCTCCTAATAAACAACAACAAGAAAATGGCAACATTTGGGAAATAACTAGAAATATTAACTGAGTTTTGTTAGATTAAGATAAAATTAGCTTTTTTTTTGGAGAGGTTTTTGCTATAGGGTGCGTGTGCTTGCCAGAAAGACAGAGACAGAAAGCAAGAAATCACTCCCCAGCAGGGATGGCCACGCACAGTCCCTTCTTCCACATTCTCTTCTCAGGATCTTGGGCACACATGCACACATGCTGGTGTGAGTTTAAGCCACCTGGTCTAGGACTTGAACGCCGGTCGACTACATGGGAGTCCAGCGACATAGCCATTACACCAACTGCTGGTCCCAAATTAGCTATGTATTTTTAACACTTATGGATAAAAAAGACCAAAACCAGGATCAATTGATCTATCTATATCTATCATCTATCTATCTATCTATCTATCTATCTATCTATCTATCTATCTATCTATCATCTACTTCTATATATTAATAAATCAAGTAATAGATAGATATCCATAGATATCTATATATGTAGATAGATACCTATCTAGCTACTAAACCAAAATGTGTAACTTCCAAACCAGAAGAGGAAAAGATGCAATAAAAGTAATTTGGTCAAAGAGAAGAAAGATGTAAAAGCAGGCAAAGAAAAAACATGGGGAAATAAGCAAAAGAAAATTATGGATTGGTACTTTTTTCATATTTTATGAAAACAAAAATTATCTGTTGGTCTATCACAGTAACAAGCAATAACATTGCATGTACTTCTGTAAATTTGTCCTAATGCTTTATAAAAATGTTCTTTTCACATATTCATGCTTTATGGAGTATAGCCAAGTTTGTTAGTTCATCATTGTTCATAGTTAATTGAAGAATATTAATTTTTTCCAAGTTTATTTCTTCCATGAGAGAGAGAAGGAGAGAGACAGGCACCCTTAACAGGGTCTTCACGCCACAGTCCACCCCCAGCCCAGCCAGGCAGAATCGTGGGCATGAATGTGTGCACTCGGCATGTACAGAAAGACTTCAGGATGCGAATCCAGGGCCTTCCGTGTGTGTTCAGCATTGTGGAGTTTGCTGTTACCACTGAGTCACTGCAGCTGGCTTGAAGAATGCTTAACTTTACAGGATTTTTATATGAAGCCATAGATATACAAATAGGAAAATTCTTTTTTTTTTTGGAGAGGTCTTTTTTTGCTATAGGGCGCGTGCGCTCACCAGACAGAGAGAGACATAGAGACAGAAAGCGAGAAATCACCCCCCAGGGGGGATGGTCACGCCGCAATCCCTTCTCCTCCATTCTCCTCTCGGGCTCTTGGGCACGCAAACACACGCGCTCGGTGTGAGTTTTAAGCCACCGGGTCCGGGACGCGAACCGCGGTCGACTACATGGGAGTCCAGTGACATAGCCATTACGCTAACTGCTGGTTCCCACAAATAGGAAAATTCTTAAAGATTAAGTTTGGTGGAAGTATCTAAAAATCACATTTCACAAAACATTGCTGAGTTTTTAGAACTATGTTTCTCAGGATTGATTCTAGCAGGTTTTTATTTTTTATATTTTATTTATTTTAATTTGACCAGAGAGAGAAAGGGATTTTCAAACTGTTAAGTCCGTGGCTGGAATTTTCAAGCCATCAGGTCGGGGACTCAGACTGTAGTTGACTATGTGGAAGTCCAGCATCCTAACCTCCACACTACCTACTTGCTTCTTTTTCATTTATTTTTAGTGGAAGTTCTTAAATGAACAGTAATTAAAATTTTTTTGTTCAGATAAATTAAATAACATAGTGTTGGGGCCAGCAGGTGGCATGGTGGGTAAGGTGCTGGACTCCTACATGGTTGTTTGCGGTTCAAGCCCCATACCTGGATGCTTGAAAATCACACCACATGTATGTGCATGCATGCCTGAATTCCTGAGAAGAGAATAGAAGAGAAGGGACTGTGGCATGGCCATCTACCCTGAGGGGGTGATTTCTCACTTTCCCTCTCTGAATCTCACTCCCAAGAGCACACAGGTCCTATGGCCAAAACCTAAAAAACAAACAAACAAAAAACAACCATAATCGTTTAGTTTTTGGTAACTAAGTCATCTAAAACTTTTCTCCTAATGTTAAGTTCAGGGGAGAGTTGATGTTAATGTCCTATACTTACCAGTCATGAATGTAGAAGTAGTTGCAAAGGAGAGGATTGTGGGATTTTGGAGTTCAAACAGTCCATGGAGGTCATTAAGTCCTATCTTCTTACTCAGTTCAGGAATCCCATCACCATGTATCACCGGTGGTCGTTTGACCACCGTAGGACGCT